TGCATCATGTGCATCTATGTGAAGGGTACGATATGGAGTACACCGTTAGGGAAGACCCTCCTTGTGTAACAGCTTGGGGGAGTCCTAAGGGATAGTGCGGTTTGGATGTCTCGATTTCGCCCATTTGTGAGCACGAGACATAACTTGCATAGCTTCTCCGTCCCGACCAGACCCTAGCAGTACATCCTTCTAGTTGAAAGTGTATGGGTAGCTCCCTACATGTACTCCTAGACTACCTTAGGTGTGTTGTTTAGGTAGCACACCATTGATATGTGATATGTGATTGGCTCCACATGCATGCATTTGTGAGTCGAGTCTCTGACACATTGCATGATAAACGAGTGTGCTTGTGATACTGATTGTGTATGTGTATTGTTTACATGTGATTTGTGCTTGTGACTTGTATTATGTTTGTTGTGTGTGTGTGCTGTCTAACCTTTATTTCTGCACCTGAACTTGAGTGAGATGTTTCTCACTCCCTTGTTGTTCTATGTGTATTTTATTGTGTTGTAAGTGATCATCAACATAAGGATGTTGGTGATGAGGCTTAGGCTTTAGTTGGGCGTGCTATGATAGGATATGTGACATCAGGGGGTAGCTAGGCTTAGTTTAGGATTTCATTATTGTTATTTTGTTTTGGAAAACTAATGTTTCATTTTCTTATAAATTCTACATTTGACCATGATTTCAGTTTACAAATGTGAATTCTCTACTTTAATGTTAGTGGAACCATTGCTTTAATTCTAAAGATTTTATTTAACTTGAGAATATGTTTTTATAATTATTATATATGTATGTTGGGGTAGAGGGTGTCACATTGATGAGTCATTATTTTCCCTTATTTTCTTACCTTTCTGTACTTATTTTAATCTCTGATTTGTGCTTAATTGTTGATATTCTGCATTGTTTTCTATTTGGGCTTTAATTGGACTGGTAATTCATATTTTAACTAATTTGAATTTTCTGAATCTAATTATTCCAAATTTTATTTTCAGGGCAGTTTAATAATTATTTGGGTTTGGAATTAATTTTTGGACTTCAAGAGGAGCTACCACGTCATCTGCCATGTCACTGCTGCACCATTTTCCACCTTAGCATTTAATTTCATTTTATATTCTATTTTTATTGTATTTCGGGTTAAACCTGACTTGGGGACCCATATTGACTTTTTTAGGGTTTTTTAGGGTCCTAGGGAAGCCACCAAAAAAGAGTATCTGATGTGACCACATTGGCTGTCTCTGTTCTCTTTGTTTTTACGTTTTTTTCTCTCTTCTCTTTGTTTTTACGTTTTGCTCTCTATAGCTACAGTTCACGTTTTGCTCTCCTCTCCTCTTATATGCATTTTCGTTTTGTATTTGAACCCTTGCATTGAAGAATACAGATTGTTCATTTTCGTTTTGCTCTCCTCTCCTCTCCTTGCATTTTCGTTTCTGCAATGGAATACATCGTATCAAATGCTTGTGGCAGCTTCTGAGATGAAGGAAGTTTTTTCTTGTTTGGACACTTCTGATCCTGATTACAAGGGAGCCCCATCTATGCAGGATTGGAAGCGGGTTGAGATCTTGTGTAGCTACTTGAAGCCACTTTTTGATGCAGCAAACATTCTTACTACAACAACTCATCCCACTGCTATTACCTTCTTTCATGAAGTTTGGAAATTGCAGTTAGATGCAACTCGTGCAGTTACGAGTGAAGACCCCTTCATTAGCAGGCTTAATAAAATTATGCATGAAAAGATTGATAAGTATTGGAGAGAGTGTAGTCTGGTATTGGCGCTTGCAGTAGTGATGGACCCTCGTTTCAAGATGAAGCTTGTGGAGTTCAGTTTCACAAAAATTTACGGCGAGGATGCTCATGTGCATATAAAGACTGTGGATGATGGAATTCATGAGCTGTTTCATGAGTACGTGGCCCTTCCGCTGCCACTAACGCCGGCCTATGCTGAAGATGGAGGTGCTGGAAGCCACAGTAAGATGGAGGAATCCCCAGTGTTGACAGATAATGGTCTTACAGATTTTGATGCCTACATCAAGGAAACTACTAGCCAACATATGAGGTCTGAGTTAGATCAGTATCTTGAGGAATCGCTGTTACCACGTGTGCCAGACTTTGATGTCTTAGGTTGGTGGAAGCTAAACAAACTCAAGTACCCTACACTTTCCAAGATGGCTAGGGATATATTATCTGTTCCGGTTTCTACTGTTGCTCCTGACTCTGTGTTTTATTCAAAAAGCAAAGAGATGGATCGGTATCGGAGTTCCTTGCGGCCAGAAACTGTGGAGGCCCTTGTATGTGCTAAGGACTGGTTGCAGTATGGAACACCTGAAGCTTCTAATGCACTTGTGCAAATGATATTCTAGATGCTTATACCCTGTATTATATATATAGTTGGTGGGTGCATTTTTATTTGAATTTTCCGTTAGAGTACATTACGTGAGAGTGAACAACGTGTCTTTCATACAACCAACCACTGCTCTTCTTCAAGCACACTTCTTTGGGCAATCCAATGGGGTATACACTCCTGACTTCCCAACCAAACCATTGGTTCCATTCAACTACACTGGCACCCCACCAAACAACACCATGGTGAGCAATGGAACAAAGGTTGTGGCTCTTCCCTTCAACACAAGTGTAGAGCTTGTGATGCAGGACACCAGCATTCTTGGTGCTGAAAGTCACCCTCTCCATCTGCATGGCTTCAACTTCTTTGTTGTTGGTCAAGGTTTTGGCAACTTTGATCCAAATAACGACCCTACAAACTTCAATCTTGTTGATCCTGTTGAAAGGAACACTGTTGGTGTCCCATCTGGGGGATGGGTTGCTATCAGATTCCTAGCAGATAATCCAGGTTGGTTAAATTGATAAATAGTTTATTCACATGATCAAATTTACATTCTAGTTAAAAAAATATTTTGGTTAGTTTTGTTAAGTTAGAAAAAACATGCAAACTTAATAATTGTGTGTACAGGGGTATGGTTTGGAAAGAGCAAACTTGTATGGCATCATGTTTTCAGAAAAGAAGATACAGTTAGCACAACAGGAAATTGACTTCCTGGGAATGAAGTTCTCTCAAGGAAGTTATCAGCCTCAACCTCATATTGCTGAAGAGTTACTCAACTTCCCTGAAGAAAATCTATCTGTTAAGCAAATTCAACAATTCCTTGGAATTATAAACTACATCAGAGATTTCATTCCGAAAGTTGCCAGATACACAAGCCCTCTCTCAAAACTGTTAAAGAAAAATCCCCCTCCATGGGGACCAGAACAAACCAAGGCTGTCCAAGAGATAAAGAAGATTGCACAGAATCCTCCTGCATTAAAAATCCCAGGAGAAGGGAAAAGAATCCTCCAGACAGATGCAAGTGATCATTACTGGGGTGCTGTCTTCATTGAAGAAATAGACGGAAAGAGGTTCTATTATGGGCATGCTAGTGGACAATTCAAAGAAGCAGAAAAGCATTACCACACCACCTATAAAGAGGCACTGGCTTTGAAGAATGGAATCAAGAAGTTTGATTTCCATCTGCGAGGATATCACTTTGAAGTCCAGATGGATAATTCTTCATTTCCAAAAATCCTGGATTTCAAGAATAAGTTACCACCAGAACCTCAACTCTTAAGATTAAAGGATTGGTTTTCCAGGTATGATTTTATTGTTAAACACATCAAAGGAAAACATAACCTCATTCCTGATTTTCTTTCAAGATCACAAAAGCCAGTCTTAATCATCTCATCCTCCTATAGCTTTCCACTGATCTTCATGGCAAAACCTCTACCTGATACAGCAAAAACTAGAAAGCTATATCCTCCTGGTTTTAAACCTAACAGTCCTGAAGAAATTATTCAATTCGCCAGATCTCATTATTTTTATTATCTTCATGAGACTCTAAGGTTTAAAGTAGTCCCTCCAACCATGTTTGATCCTACAGAAGAACATCCCGGAATATTTGAATTATCCTTGTTGTTTGCCTAAATTGGTTGAAGGATGGACCTATTTGTGAGGAAGTCAATTTTGGTGATATACATGATATGGAAGTGGCAATTAAAGATGTTTGTGTAAATATCACTTTTGGAATTTTCATAACCTATGGACCTACATAACCGACAGTACTATCAAGAGGAAGATTGAAACCACAAATTTGCATTTGAATAGCCAAATCTGTGATGATGGATGGGAATTGGGCTTTCGCAAAATCAATTGCTACACTGATTCCACTCATGCCTTACACCATGTTACTACGGACCATATGTATGTATTCTACTCTCATCATATCTATACTTGAAGGGTATAGATATGTTGATCTCCTATACATCATCAAGAAGCTAATACTTTGGGCTTTGTATTTCCTAGATTGTAATGTTTTTCTTTTGTTTCTTGTTCCTTTCCGTATTCTACCAAAATAAAACGGAACACGGCAATATCAATGGGCTGAAAATTGTCCCAAGAAAACAAAGCTAGATGGAGTGGGCCCTCGTACACATTGAGTGGGCTATTTCCACGCATGCTCCCAACTCCTTCTAAAGTCTTCGGAAATTATAATAACGGAGTGGGCTAACTTAACCAAGCTAAAAATCAAACCGAATATAATGTTTTTTTAAAAATAAGATAAATAAAAATAAAAATAATAAAATATGAACAATGGACCTTGGAGTCCAAATACCGAATCCAAAAGTAATACCCCTATTGTAAATCTTTTGAGAACCTCATCTCTTCTGGCGAACCAGTCCCAACCAAACCACCAGAAATCAGATCTAAGGTCCAATTACCTTCTCGGGTTGGTTCTCAAGCCCAAATCTTTTCTCTCTTTCCGCAAAACCCTAGATCTCACTCCGCCAAGCCCGAAGGCCGCTTTCAGGGCTTCCGCTTCCAACTCCGTCAAGCCCGAAGGCCGGTTTCCGGGCTTCCGCTTCCAGCGCCGTAAATTTTTCACTGTAACAGCTGGTTAACCTCTTTCCACTCCTTATTCATTCTCTTTGACTCAAAAATGACTCAGATCGATCATCGATCCCAGCAATGATTGATTTATTAATATAAAAAATTTTTAATTTTGTTTTTTCTGCTCAAGAACTGCTAGTAGTTTTCATGTGTGCTCTCTGTTAGTAGTGCTTTGAGTAATTGTTGAGTATCATCAGTTATTACAGAATCACATCTCAGACAAACAATTCGCTTTCTTTATTTTTTTATTTAATGTATGCAAAAATGTTTAAATGTTTTTAGTATTCTAAAAATTAAATAACATAGAAAGGGGGAAAAGATATAAGCAAATCAGGTTTGATTAGTAGGGTAACGTTTTGTTAATGAAATGTAAATTTACAATGGTAATGTTTGAGTAATATTGAGTATTCCAGATGTTGTTATTTTGACTGAGCTTGGGCCAACCCAGCCCATTTGTTGGCCCAATTATTCTTAGGATATGATGATAGTGTCAGGCTGAATGAACTAATGTAATTGAAATGTTTGTGTTCATCTGAATCTTGTGTATTTTGCATTGATACATGATGCAATAAACATACAAGTGTTCTCTTCTGATCTATGGTACTTATGATACCGGAAACTTCAAAAATGGAAAAGTAGTCATGTTGCACGTCAGATAATACTCGTTGGTCTCGATACATATCCAAAAAGTATCCAGTCTTTTTTTTATTTTTTTTATTTGTTTTAACTTTTATTCTAGGGTACTTCTGGGTACTTATCCACAAAGTTTGCCTTAACTTAAGGTGCAGCCGTATTCTTTCTCATGCTTTGAGTTTGAGAGGAATTGGCGTTGGCAAAATACTCCTTTATTCATTTTTTGAAGAAAAACAAAGTGGATCCAAAATGGTTAGAATATTAGGTTTATGTGTATTCCAAACTTTGACTTTTGTCTATGATGAAGGGTATAAAATGGAGAACTAAGGTTCTGGGAGATTAGTGGATGATATATATCATCCACTTGATAATTGTGCTAGACATCTTGAATTGGCACAGTTGTCTCTTGAAGAACTAGACTTAGACGTATGCTTTTTCTGAATGATGGTAGAGGGAGAGGAGAGTGATATAATTAACATTAGACAATAGTATATTTTAGCAATGATGATTTGTGAAACCTAGGCTATGGTACAGAACCCGTATTTCCAAATATGCTTTTATTGATATAGGTAACAAAATTTGGTTATGATATGAGCAAAAATTGTATTCTATTTTTTTTTTTCTTTTGATCACGAATATCATTTTGTGAATTGTGATCTTCATTGTTATGAATTAATGAGAAATGATTAATGTCTCTTCCTTTACCAATATTCTCCATCTATATTATTTTTTTCTATAAATTTTTAGTAAACATATTCAGAACGAATTGTATACCAAATTTTAGAAATTGTCGTATCCCTGTGCCCATGTCGTACTAAGTTTCTGGGTGTCATAGTATAGTACTTTAATACATCTATATCTGGAAAACCTTTATTGATTGTAATTCACTATTAATTAATTAGTATCTTTTTCTTCCAGTTGTGAGGCAGGATGGTTGATACCCTCGAAGAAGACAAAGTAGCAGTGACTCCTGATATGAAAAAGGATCCAGTTGATACTGATGCTCTACCCAGCAATGATCTTGCAGAGTCTGAAACACTGCCAGGCAGTAGTGTGGAAAAGTCCGAGTCTGAGCCTAACAAAGATCTGTCCAATTTGGAAACACAGCATAACAAGGAACTTGCTGCTTCTGAAACACTGCCTACTAATGGTGAAGCAGTAACGTTAACCAACCAACATTTGGTCACCTCTGAAGAACCTGCAATTGACAATCCAGAGATTTGTGAATCACTAACCAGCAACCAGCCAGACAATGCTGAAGCCTTACAGAGCAGTCAGATAGTTAATTCTGAGGCACCACACACCAATCAGTCAGCCAACTCTGAAGCTTTATCTGACAGTCAGTATGTTAGTTCTGAAGCATCTCTTGATAAGAATAATGAGTTATTGCCTAACCAATCCATAAGTAATTCTGATATACAAACTGGTAAAGATGTGGTTGTATCTGAAACCCAGCAGACTGATGAGGTGGTTATGTCTGAAACTGTGCAAGGCAATGAGAGTATCATGTCTGAAACTCAGCAAGGCAATGAGGTGGTCATGTCTGAGACACAGCCTGACAGTGATGCAAACATGCCTAAAACTCAACAAAGCAATGAGGTGGTCATGTCTGAAACACAGCCCGACAGTGATGCAAACATGCCTAAAACTCAGACATGCAATGATGTGGTCATGTCCGAACCTCTGCCTGAAAATGAGTTGGCCAATCCCACAACACATCCTAACAATCAGCTCTCTCATTCTGAAACTGGTCATGATAATCAGTTCACAGATATCCATACAAGTCCTGTAGATCAGCTGCCTCAACATGAATCACTGCCTCATTCAGAACCACTACCCAATTCTGAACCACTTGCAGATACTCAGACATGTAATGATGAGGTCATGTCAGAACCTCTGCCTGAAAATGAGTTAGCCAATCCTACAACAGATTCTGCCAATCAGCTCTCCCATTCTGAAACTGGTTCTGTTAATCAGTTCACAAATCTCCATATGATTCCTGAAGATCAGCTGCCTCAACCTGAATCACTGCCTCATTCAGAACCACTACCCAATTCTGAACCACTTGCAGACACTCATCTGACAGACATCAAAGTAATATATCATAATCATCTGACCCATTATGAAACACTGCCCAACAACCATGCAAACCAGTCCGAGGCATTATCACAAAATCAGCTATCTAACTCTGAAGCATTGTCCCATGATCATCTGGTCAATTCCGAAATGCTGCCTCATTATGAGCTAGAAAATAGTGAAATAATGCACCACAATCAGATGGTTAATTCTCAAACAAACTATGAAATGACCGTTTCTGATGCCATACCCAGCTATGAGATAATAAATGCTGAGACACCACTGAACAGTGAGGATCGTACCCCAGAAACACAGCCTACTAAGCGGAGGAAAAAGAAGTCTATAGTCTGGGAACACTTCACTATAGAAACAGTTAGTCCTGGATGTAGAAGGGCGTGCTGCAAGCAGTGCTCTCAAACTTTTGCGTATAGTACAGGTTCAAAGGTAGCTGGCACCAGCCATCTCAAACGCCACATAGCCAAGGGGACCTGCTCAGCTCTTCTACGCAACCATGACCACAATCAGTTGTCCCCATATACTGCAAGAACTAGGGGGAGTGGGGCTGGAAATGCTAGCGATACACCTAAAAGACGATATAAATCCTCGAGTACCCCTTTCATCATTTTTGATCAAGATCAATGCCGCCATGATATTGCTAGGATGATCATTATGCATGATTACCCCCTTCACATGGTTGAGCATCCAGGCTTTGTTGCATTTGTCCAAAACCTGCAGCCTCAGTTCAAAATGGTGACCTTTAATTCTATCCAAGGAGATTGTGTTGCGACGTACCTGATGGAAAAGCAACATATTTTAAAGTATATTGAGGGATTACCTGGGCGTGTTTGTTTGACACTGGACATTTGGACATCAAGTCAATCTTTAGGTTATGTATTTATTACAGGGCATTTTGTTGATCCTGATTGGAAGTTGCAGAGGCGAATTCTCAATGTTGTAATGGAACCATATCCTGATTCAGATTCTGCACTCAGCCATGCTGTAGCTGTTTGCCTTTCTGATTGGGGGTTGGAGGGTAGGCTTTTTTCTGTCACTTGTAATCAAGCACTGAGTAATGTTGCCCTTGAAAATCTCAGACCTTTACTCTCTGTGAAGAATCCACTTATTCTCAATGGTCAGTTGCTAGTTGGTAATTGCATTGCCCGTACTTTAAGCAGTGTTGCTAAGGAGTTGTTGGGTTCAGCAGAAGACTTGATTAAAAAAATCCGTGATAGTGTAAAATATGTGAAGACTTCAGAATCACATGAGGAAAAATTCTTGGAGCTGAAGCAGCATCTTCAGGTTCCCAGTGAAAGGAGCCTTTTTATTGATGACCAACTTCAATGGAATACATCGTATCAAATGCTTGTGGCTGCTTCTGAGCTGAAGGAAGTTTTTTCTTGTTTGGACACTTCTGATCCTGATTACAAGGGAGCCCCATCTATGCAGGATTGGAAGCTGGTTGAGATCTTGTGTAGCTACTTGAAGCCACTTTTTGATGCAGCAAACATTCTTACTACAACAACTCATCCCACTGCTATTACCTTCTTTCATGAAGTTTGGAAATTGCAGTTAGATGCGACTCGTGCAGTTACAAGCGAAGACCCCTTCATTAGCAGGCTTAATAAAATTATGCATGAAATGATTGATAAATATTGGAGAGAGTGTAGTCTGGTGTTGGCACTTGCAGTAGTGATGGACCCTCGTTTCAAGATGAAGCTTGTGGAGTTCAGTTTCACAAAAATTTACGGGGAGGATGCGCATGTGTATATAAAGACTGTGGATGATGGAATTCACGAGCTGTTTCATGAGTACGTGGCTCTTCCACTGCCACTAACACCGGCCTATGCTGAAGATGGAGGTGCTGGAAGCCACAGTAAGATGGAGGAATCCCCAGTGTTGACAGATAATGGTCTTACAGATTTTGATGCCTACATCAAGGAAACTACTAGTCAACATCTGAAGTCTGAGTTAGATCAGTATCTTGAAGAATCGCTGTTACCACGCGTACCAGAATTTGATGTCTTAGGTTGGTGGAAGCTAAACAAACTCAAGTACCCTACTCTTTCCAAGATGGCTCGGGATATATTATCTGTTCCGGGGTCTACTGTTGCTCCTGACTCTGGGTTTTATTCAAAAAGCAAAGAGATGGATCGTTATCGGAGTTCCTTGCGGCCAGAGACTGTAGAGGCCCTTGTATGTGCTAAGGACTGGATGCAGTATGGAACACTTGAAGCTTCTAATGCGCTTGTGCAAATGATATTTTAGATTCTTATAGCCTGTATTATATATGTAGTTGGTGGCTGCATTTTTATTTGAATTCTCCGATAGTATATTACGTGAGAATTTATCTGTTGTCGTCTTGTGTAACAGTAACATGCTCGAATTCATGTTTCCCTATTCCATGGGCATAGTCGTGGTTCAAATGGGGAATCTGCCCTCCCCTAATGCCAACATTGGGACATTGATTTCAATATTTAGTAGTTGTTTCGTTAGATTAGCTGTAAACTTGTTTTGTTGCCGCTGGTCTAAAGGGATCTTATTTTTATCTCACCCCAGTTACAGTTTCTGTTATTTTTATGGTGGACACCTGTTTAGTTCTATCTGGAGATCTTCTAATAAACTCACCGTGAGAAAAGATATTGCTAGCTTGCAAATGACAAGTTATTTTGTTTTTTTTTGTCTGCAACAAGAGAATAGGATATTCTGTCATGCAGAAAAAATAAAACTATGCATGGCCATATAATCAAACTTTGTCTTTTTTATCTTCCAACTATGCTAAACCTTGTTGAGTGACAGTGTCATCTATTATGGGTCTGATGGAATGAGCTTTATTTTTTATATAATAGAATATGTGAAACCACACCTATAGAGGCTTTCCTAAATGATTTGTTCCAGCATCCGTGTCCAATTTTAGGAAGCTGTGTCACTATTTCAAGATTGGATTTTTCCGGCTAAACGACCATTGTGGTGCACTTTTAGAAACAATATACTAAAATGGGGTTGTTTTGAAACATTTTACACCTTTGGGGCTGTTTTATAGGGTGTCGCTATGGGCCATAGCGACACTCATGCCACGTGGCTTTTTTAGGTCTGAATATAAGCCATGAACGCCATATTAGTAGAGTCGCTGTAGCTGGTGGAGACCTTCAAGGAGTCACTATAGGCTATAGCGACTCAATTCGACTAAAAATGAGCCTATAACAGCACACTTATATAAATAATATAAAAAAAATATTATTATAAATTTAAAAATACAAAAGATTATGTGAAGAAAAAAGGAATAAAGATAACGTAATATAAGAAAAACAAAAAATAAATTTTGTTAACAAATAATAATTAAAGTATAAAATAATAATTAAATTAAAAAACTGGGGCGCTATGGTCCATAGCGGAAGTGAGGCGCTATGGCCCATAGCGCCTGTGTAAAAGTATATTTAATATTTTTTAAATATAAAGTATGAAAAATAATTTATAAAAAAATGT